CGAATGCTGTTGGTCGTTCCACGCCTGTGAGGACAGCTGACCTATTGCTGATGACAGCGCTGGCAAAGGATCATGTAACACCTCCTCCCTGCTGTCATAAAAGAGGTGATCAGAGAAATTCTAAGGGTTGGGTGATCTTAAATTCTGGATGATCATCAAATCATGTCCAGACCTTTCTTTTTTACTGACAACCACATTCTGTTTCTGCTCTAAATGCACAGGGGTAGCCCTTTGAATCTGGCTCTGAGGTCTAGACACAAGGGAGAGGCTTTTCAGTGTCACGGCCTCCAGTTTTCTCTGCTAGTCTCCCACGAGGGTCTGTGAGCCCATCCCCCTACCAGACAGTGGTTCTCAACCTCTGGATCACAACCATCTTGGGGTCAAAAAATCCTTTCACGGGGGTCAAATATCAGATATTCTGCATATCGGATGTTTCCATTAAGATTCATAACTGTAGCACAATTACAGTCGTGAAGTAGCAACGAAATAATTTTATGGTTGGGGTCACTGCAGCATGAGGAACTGTATGAAGTGTCTCGGTGGGGGGGTCGTCAGGAAGGTTGTAAGTCATTGCAGCCTGTATTCTGAACAGGAACAAGAGAAACTGCTCACTGTTCCCCGGGCTCAGATGTTGGATAGGGACAGTTGCCTCTTTGTCATCTCACACACAGGCACAGCCGCTGTGGTCTCCCACTGCCTGGGCTGTGCAGTCTTGAGCATTTGGATGCCTGGTTTCCTTTTCTACTTACAGGAATATAGTTGGCATTAATGTAGTCTGCTCCTTCCTCTTCATTCATGGAGACTAGTCTCACTCGGCTGAAATCATCTATAAAGACAGGGAGAAAGACACATTAAGAAACTCAGAATGGATGGTGGCGCACACCTTTAATCCCAGCACTTGGGAGGCAGAGGCAGGCGGATCTCTGTGAGTTCGAGGCCAGGCTGGACCGACAGCCTCCAAAACAGAGAGAGAGAGAGAGAGAGAGAGAGAGAGAGAGAGAGAGAGAGAGAGAGAGAGAGAGAATATATGAATTTGGGTGGGTAGGGAGGTGAGGATGTAGGAGGAGTTGGGGTAGGACAAAGAATATGATCAAAATAAATTGTAAGAAAAATTTAAATAAAAACATTTCTAAATTACCAAAATATATTGGCTTTAAAGGGGCCATATTTTGTTGACTCCTTACTTCATTGAATTTTTGTGAATGTGTCAATCAGAGGAAGGCTGTTAGGGGGACTTTTTAATCAGAAAAGCGAATGTGAAATGTTATTGTTATAATTCTACCTGCTTTTATCAAGAAACCACATGAAGAATAGTGATATCTGTCTAAGACTTTTGTTTTCCCTCTTTCTATGTTTTCTTTCTTTCCTAGCCTTCCCCGAGGGTAGTAGAGATGGAAAATCAGCCTATATTACAGGCACTACAACAATGTAACTGTAACATACAGGTCCTATGCATCCTTCCTGTTACCTCTCTCTTGAATGTTGCTTTTTATTACAGAATGCTAACCACTCACTTAACTTGCCAGGCGTGAGAGGAAGGCATTCATATGCTGCACTTAGTCCCTTCCACTCTCAGTGAATCCACAGAAAACATTTCACAGCAACGGAGATTATCTGATTCCAATTTAGTTTAGCCCCTTTAGTCCCCAAAGGGACAACTGCTTAGTCCCTTCCGCTCAGATGCAATTTATGTGAAAGCGATGTAATGAAATCTGCCTCCACCGAATAAGATCAGTGCACTAGCTAGGCCCAGGAAATCACAGCCATAGTCCTGCAATTTAGACTGCCCCTGAGTCTGGCTGGGAACCAGTGAAACTGGCTAAGCTGCTTTGACCTTTAAAACACAGGGCTGGGGTCAGGACTATTGGCTTACACGGCAGGATGTTTGTGTAGCGGTTTTTACATCGGTTCAGTGGAAGATCTGCCGCGAAGTGTGGAATATCCAGCCCGATCAGTTTCAGCTCCTGCAAACAAGAGAGAAGTAGGTTTGAGTTTCTGTGAGCACTGTGGGTGGGATGGCCCACTCTTCACCTTGGACTGTGCGTGTATAAAGCTACAACATGCCCTTGGCTAGCTGGTAACACAGCAGCTCATTTTAAGGGAAGAATGTACTCATCCACTCCGTTATCCTCGGCTGTCTCTCGCCAGTGAATCTGGGTGGAACTCAGGTGAAATGGAAACTCACTCCGTGTTTGCTTAGTCTGGTTTCTTCTCCTGTCTTTCTAGCTCCAACCAGACAGAGCTCATGGCTGGCCGGGAAAGATGCTGATCGTAGGATGAGGGGACAACCGGGGTGGGACCCGCAGCAGAAGGGCCCCCTGGAGACCACACACTGAGAGTGTGAAAACCAAGCATCCCAACCCTCAGTTAAGGTTGCTTGTTAGCATGGGACGGTGAAGTACTGCCCACTATGACATAGAAACAGCCTGAGCTCCTCCCAGATCATTCCGAGGAGCAAGGTCTGTGTGGCAGATGGAGCGCGGGAGGCTTGGGAAGGAAACACTGTCTGGGTTGCTAATGAAGAGGGAGCTCACATTAAGTTGTTCACATAAACCTGTCCTGTCCTATGAGGCGATGTGGGTATTGTTTTCTCATAGACAGTAAACCTCGAAGAAGCACCACAAAAGGAGGAGTGGAGAAGGAGCAGGAAGCACTCTCCATGCTGCAAAACAGGATTAGATGTCTGATGACAGAACCTGAACAATGAAGATGAATTGGCCTCGTTGAGGCAAGCCCTGGCCTGGAACCGCTTGACACTGGGTGACCTGTAGGCTGTCCTGTGACTCTCTTCCCACAGGACACATCGGCATGTTCACATGAGCAGATAACTAGTTCAGTCTCCAAGGTTAAGTGGCTGGAAGAGGGGCTCCAGCTGTCTAGTCCTGCGTCTTGTATAAAACAAGGAGCTTACATAGTCCCAGGTCACCCAGCTGTCCGCATTATGGTCTACTGTAATGGAAGTCTCTGGGATTCTTCAGCATAGAACTGAAGCAGCAAATCTAACAATATCCTGAAACATTTTCCAAGGTGTATTTTTATTGTATCCGTGTGAATGAATGCCCTGTGATTGTGTGCTATGGAGACCCTCTGTGTTGGGGTTGCTTTATATACTGTGCCCCATTCTATAAACTGACCAGTTACTCTACATTTTGCTTACACTTGAAGAGTTAAGTGTTTTTTGCATGTTTATGCTCAAGGTGTGCGTGCATGTGTATTTGTGTGTTGGCATGTACGTGGGTGTGCCAATGTGGGGAGGCCCGAGGCTGACATTGGTTGGTATCTTCCTCAATTATTCTCCACTTCACTTACTGAGACAGGGTCTCAGTCCACTAGGCTAGCTAGCCAGCTTGCCTGGGAGACCTCTTGTCTCTGCTTCCTGGGTGCTGGGATTACAGGTAGGCCACTACTCTTTCAAGGCCTGTATCCAGGCATTGTAGATCTGAACTCCAGAGCACTCACACATTCCAAAGGTGCGCAAGGCACATAAACTTTACACCCAAGTCGCTGCTCAATTGTTACTTTAGGGAGAAAAAAGCTAGAGGCTTCCTCTGGAGGAGGACTTTTGGAATCTCTGAGAGATTTTAAGGGGAGAGACATCTGGTGATGTTCCAGGTGATGGAGCAGGGAGGTTGTCACATTGACTCAAGTGCTCTTCCCCAAGTGCACGCTTTAGGGATCAAGCGTTAGGCCTCAGGCCTCTTCCTCGTCGCACACCCTTGCTTGGGCTTCATCAACTGACAGTGGCATGCTCAGTTGCCATCGCATAGAAGGAACCTTGATGGCCCAGATTTCTCTTTCTTGCTGACACTTTACCATTTTTTTGGCCTCTCAAGATTACACATTCCTAAGCTTTTTGGACTAACTGGCACTGGTTCTTAAAGATAAACTGGCAAGTTGGTGTCTCAGCACCAATTTAAAATTTCCTTCTATCTCAGACAAAACCTTTCTACCAGTGCCCTTAAAGCAGAAAATTGCCATTGCAATTTTACAGGTTTCTCATTTAAAGGATTTCCAGTGGCTTGCTCAATGACTCTTGTGTGACACAAAATATCTCTAGTTTTGGAAAACTTAAATCAGTGTTATTTTTTTCAGGTTAATTAGAGCAATCATGAACTTATTTAAATGATGCTTTTTCTTCCATTGATTAAAATATTTACAAGTAGACTTTCCTTAGAAGGAAACCATAAAGGATAATTTGTTAAAAGGATATAATTTGTTAAAATACTTCCCTTAGTTCTGTGAGCCACTTATAAAGTGCAGGTCTTTCGAAAGTGCCTCATATCTCCTCAACATCTGTCTGATTATCTCCAAATACATCTTATAATTTCTGCATTATTTGCTGGCTTACAACACTATCAAATAGAATAATGAAATTCAACAAATGCACGTTGCCCTACGGATACCACTTGTGAAACAATATGATGGTGTGGTTGTGTTTGCTTTTGCCTTGCTTGCCTTGGGTCTACAATGACTCCTTTCTTGGCCAATGTGTGGATAGAGTCTCAACTCTCCTTAGGTCCCCCTCCACATCCCAACTTAGACATACACTAAAAAGCCACCGGAAAGATAAAAAGGAATCTTAGAAACAGGCTGGGGCTGAGGGCTGGCAGCGCACGTGGAGGCTGACTCACCGAGAGATCTGTAATCCAGTGTTACCTTCCCAGCTGTAAATGCCCTAACCTGGTAGGAGCTGCTTAATTGACTGAGCAGCATAAATGTAAATGATCAAGTTGCAACGTTTCGGAGCAGGAGCTGCATGGACACTCAAGCTGCTTTGCAGGCTTTGTAATTTAGCTTGTCACTGAGTGGAAAATCAAACAAGTTTCCAGTTCCGTAGCTCTGCAGTTATTTTCTCTCCAACCACAGGAAACACCAGAGGCTTAAATATTCATTAAGATAAGCATAGGGGTTATGGGCTGGAGCCACATAAATCATCTTTGGATTTCTGTTTGCCTGTTTTGCTTCTAATGTAGTCAATCATGGTTTTTATTTATTGTAGACATCTCTAGAGTGCTGAATGGTGTTCACCAAGATGCTGTGTCCATCTTAGAACCTATGAATGTGACCCTTTTGTGAAAGCTTACAGAGATAAATCATTATGGATTACTAGCTGAGAAGCCATATAAAGATGGGGTCAGAGTCCGGCTTGATGCAGCTGCCAAAGAACACTTGGGACCACCAGACCCTGAGCAAGGTAAAGATACGCCATCCCGGAGCCTCCAGATGGAGGCTTGGAAGACTCCTCACTTCAGCTCTGTTTCTGACACTGGGAGAGTAGAACTCTGTTTTTTAAGCCAAGAATGCTGTGACGACTTGTTAGGGGTCAAATGTTGTCACCCAGTCCAGTGGTGGTCTGTACTAGGCCAGAGAGTGTTGAAACATCTAACTCCAGAGAAAGGAAGCACAGGGGTATGTGTGTCTGTGTTGTGTGTGCGTATGTGTGTTTGTGTATTGTGTATGTGTGTATGTATGTGTGTGTCTGTATGTGTATTTGTGTGTGAGTGTGTATATGAGAGTGTGTAAGTGTATATATGAGTGTGTATGTGTATGTGTGTGTGTGTGTGAGAGAGAGAGAGAGAGAGAGAGAGAGCATAATTGAATACCACAGAGTTGTGGTTTTAACCAAAGGATGTTATTATTTTTCAGTCATGGGGGCTGAAAAACCAAGGTGCCAATAGTGTAGATTTCATTGTTCATCTTTGAGTTGTAAGCAGCTGTCTGTCAGCCACTGTGCACGCCCATGTCTTAGGAATGTGAAGCTTGGGGGAAGAGAGAGGGCAAACTCACCAGTTTTTCTTACTGTAAAGGCATGAATCTCATCATTAGACTCCCAGCTCCACAACTCTGTGTATCCTAGATATCTCTGAAGGGCCTCATCTTCAGACCCTGACAAGGAGGCGAGGCTCCCAGCACAGATGGGAAGAACATAGACTGTCGTCATCTCAAACAAGCACCACTGCTCTTAGAGCTGGCAGCATTGTCACCAGATGACAATACTTTGTGTTTACTTTGGAGTAGACAGAACATCAGAGGCAAGTCATCTGGGTCAACAGACCACATATCCCCAGGGGAGGACAAGGGATGGAGGAAGAGCAGAGGTCCCATCTGCAGCAAGTTAATGACACAAAAGAATCTCAGGTGGGATGAAATGGGGGATGGAAAGGGTTAGAGTAAGCTACGTAGTGTGGTACTATATGAATCTCCCGGGGCTGCCAGGACAAGATGCCACAAGTATGTTGATGTAACATCAAATGAATGTATTGTTTCATTGCTCTGGAGTCCACAGATATGAAACTGAGGTATCAGCAAGGCCACATCCCCTCTGTGATGGCTCTGGTGGGAATTTCATTGTCTTCCCTTGGCTTCTCATGGGGCATTTACCTACAGCTGCATATAGTATGACCGCTTAAGTTTTGACCCTTTTCACCATCTCCATCTATCATGGTCCTATCTGAAGATTAGATGTCAGCCTGTGGTTGGGAGATGTTAGAGTCTCAGCAGATGTGGGAGGGCACAATTCAATCCATCATGCACACCTCAAGGAAAGAATACAGCACTGATGGGAATCCGATAGGTGCGTAACGGAAGAGTAGAGACAAAAGACATCAACCCTAGGGACGTCTGCAGGGACCTGGAGACCACGATGCAATTCATATCAGGGACAGCACAGAGCAAGGCCATGGTGCTAAGTACTGGCCCTTGGAGATGGATCAAACATCTGGGAGAGAAGGAACGAGAGGAGAGAAAAGTCAAGGATGGGAGCGAAGATCCTGTGCCTAAAAACTGATGGAGTGATTTGAGGGAACCCATCCCAGTGACGACTCCAGGGAATGGGCCTGAGGCATAAATCAGCCAAGACTGAGCCACTATCGGAAAGGAAAGGTCACCTCTTGTTTGACATGTAGCATGTTCCATGGCCTTACATTCATCTTCGGTAGCAATATTTCTGAACAAAGAATGTGAAAGCCTTTACCTGTGTTCTAGCCAATCACAATTTTGAAAAATCAGTGGGAAAGCAGGGGGTGCTTGGAGAGCCTTGTGAACGGCCCCGCCTCAAGCTCTGAATTGGGTTCTTTAGAAGCCCCCTTATCAGAAACCTCAGACATGAAGCTGTCACCTTTTAAGTTTCCAGCCTCCTTAAGGAAACATGTATACTTCTGTCAGAAAAATAATAAGTCTTTCCCACAGTTCCCAAATCAGATACTGAGTGACAGGGAATTTATTTAGAGAATAGGAAGTAGAAACTGTTACAGCCTCATGTATGACTTATAGCTGTATCGGTAATATATGCAAATCCAGGTATTATCTTCAATTTGCATAATGATTACAAATGATGCAATTTCTCAATGCGTGTTTGATCTTTCAATGTCAGTATGGAAATTATATAAGCATTCGGAAAAGCAGAACAAATACCTGTTTCAGCTACTAGGTTTAGCTAGACCCAGCTGACTGAGTCATCCCAATACCTTCCTGAGGTGCTGTTATAATCAGAAGCATCTTCCCTGTTATGTAATTATGAATACAAAATACTAGAAAATCTGAAGACTGTTATGTGAAGGTGTGGCATATACACAGTAAGCAGTCATCGGAGCTCAACTCTTCCCTGGAAATGGTGAAGAAATCATACTCAACCTGAGGACATTGTGGGCTGTGAAGACTTCAGAACTGAGTGGAGGCTGACAGGGAGAAAAGAAATACAACCAGGGGGTCCCTGGCTGAGCAAATGCTAGTCCAAGACATACAGTCCAAGTGTGTGATGCAAAGACCCAAGAATTTCTCACTGAATCATGCACATGGAGCATGTATGGTGCCAAGTACACTACACACACAACTAATACTGTTCCAAGAACAGAGATGTATGAAAAATGTTTATTGACACTAAAAGTCCTAAACATGTCTTCAAAACCTGACACAGTGACTGTGTTTATTTGTCAGCCTGGATAAATATGGAGCACGGTTGTTTGGCCACACAGCAAACTAGAGCTTGCTATGAAGCTGGCAAAATGTGACGACCTCATTGGGCTCAGAATAAAGTAGGTTACTGTTTGTACATTGGGCGGGACTTAGCCGATCAATTAATTGAATTAAGAGGGAAGGTAACTCCCTGGAAGAGGAGGGAATTCTGCTCCATACTGCTTTCAGACCCATACTGCTTTCAGACCCATACTTCTTTCAGACCCATGCCTGCAACCTGCTTTTCTGTGGTTCACCAGGGGGATAGCCTGCGCTGCAGACTAGGCTTGCATGTTGTCCTAAGCCAGTTCCCTAAGACAAACCGCTCTCTCCATGCTCCTGCTGGTTCTGTGTGCACAACCACTGGGGTTCCTAGAGAACCGCAATGCACAGGCACGGGAAAGCACACTGCACGATGCTCGGCCTTAAGCCCAGGGTTTTGGGAAGCACTACTAGCCGAGGACAATTCCTGATTGCACTCCTTGAGGAACATTTAATTCTCCTGCCCTCCTCCCATTATATACCGTTAGTAGTCCTCACCCAGGGCACTAACCAAAGCCACGCCCACACACCGCCACATTCCTTCTTGGGAACTGGCTGGCTCTTGCTCAGTGGGGAATCACTATCTAGTTCAACCTACATGTCTTATAGGTGAAGAAACTGAGGTTTTGAAAAGTGTGACACCCTCTGAAATATTGACTTATAACAAGGGCCAAATAAATAGAAATCCTCAAATGCAAATACAAACGTTATGAACTAAATTAAAATATCCATCATATATTGAACACATAAAAAACCAAGCACATAATACATTCAACATTTAGCATGTAAAGTGTACAGTTCTTTTTTTTAACATATCTGTGTGATATTTGTAGCTAATACACGAATTGCTTATTGTCTGGCAGTCCACCATTTTTGTTCAGGAATACGGCTATCTCTCACCTAAGGTGATTTAGTTGCACTATCTTGTTTGGCAGACTTTACGTGACTCTTCTGCTTTTGTTGTTGGATAGAATGGCACCATAACCCAACTGTCTAGACAAAACTCCCTGTTAATTTTCAAAGCACAGGTGAGCAAGAGAATGTTATGTGGAGGGGTAAGAGAGGGGTAGGGTAGGAGAAGAGAGCTGAGGGGAGTCATGGTGTTGGATACTGTGGTGGTTTGAATGTACTTGGCCTCCATAAACTCACAGGGAGTGGCATTATTAGGTGCTGTCACTTTGTTGGAGAAGGTGTGGCCTTGTTGGAGGAAGTGTGTTACTGTGGGTGTGGGCTTTGAGGTCATATATGCTCAAGCTACTCCCAGTGACTCAGACCACTTCCTGTTACCTGCGTGTCAAAATGTAAGAACTCTCCATTCCTTCTCCAGCACCATGTCTGTCTGTGTGCCTTTATGCCTCACCATAATGATAATGAACTAAATATCTGAACTGTAAGCCACCCCAATTAAATGTTTTCTTTATAAAAGTTGCTGTGGTCATATCTCTTCACAGTAATGGAAACCCTAACTAAGACACACACTGAGTTTTCTATGGAGAAAAAGAAGTTGCCTTTTAGTGAAAGAAAGCAAAGCCAAGACCAGAAGAGAACAAAAACGAGGAATGAAGGAGCCCTTGTAGGGGTCTTGCTTGAGCTTCCAGCCATCCCAAGGTTTATCTACTCAACCCTTCCTTTTATTACATGACATATATTAATATCCTTCCAATAAAGTCCCCTTTGCTTAGGTGTAAGCTGGTTAGAATTAGATTTCAGTTACAATAAAAGCATCCTTTTTTTTTCAAACCAGGAAATAGCATTGAACTTTTAAATAACTATAAAATTCTAAAATACAGTGATATTTACACTCTGGTTTGATGGCGTAAACTATGAGTCCTCAGCAAAAGTCATGTCCTTTAGCTATGTCACCAATAGCATCTATGATGGTTTGAGAAGACTGTCTCCTAGAGGTGTGTGGGTTTTGGATAATCGGTCCTCAACTGGTGGCACTGTTTGAGAGGGCTTTGGGACTGTGAGCTTTGCCGGAAGATGTGCATCCCCAGGACAGGCTTTGGGATTTTACACTTCCTTTCTCTCTCTGCCTACTTGCTCCCAAGCTTACCTCAGGCTCCTACTGCCATCCCTTCCCCACCACAATAGGGGCTTTCATCCTAGAACTCTAAGTGAAAAGAATTCATTCTTTCCTAACCCACTTTTGGTCACAGTATTTTTTTAAAAAATCATAGCAACAGAAGAGTAACTTATCCAGCAGTCAATCTTGAAGGGATTAAGAAACTTTTTACTCAGTTGGAGGTGTGGCTCCACCATCGTTTTCATCTCCACCATTATAGTCAACCATCTATCCAGTTTTTACAGAATTTTTGCTTATTATTATTTTAAGAATGTCTTCCTTTCAGTGATTTACTTTCTGAAATGCTGTTCTGTCTGTAGGCCCCGAAATATAATTGGATTTCTGTGATTTGAGATGTCACATGGGGGTAATATTGATAACTTCATATGCACTTGCAGGGAATAGACAACAGGCTGGGCTAGATGTGAGATTTACCGAGACAGGTGGTAGTTAGGGGGCTTTTCATTTGGTAATGAATAAGATTCTTCATAGATCAGTGAGATGACTCAGTTGGTTATGGTTCTTCTCACCAAGCCTGATGACCTTGACGAGTGGGATCCCTGTGCTCCAGTGGTGAAGGGGGACCTGATTCCTGGAAGGTGTTGTTTGATCTACATACATATTGTGGCATGCATACAACTCACACACACACACACACACACACACACACACACACTTTAGGGGCCAGTGTCAGCTCAGAGCAGCACCCCAAGACCAAGTTCTTGGCACAGAGGAAACTTATTTGCCCTAGAGGAACAAGGGGCCAGGATAGGAGATCAAGACAGGAGACAGAAGACAGGGAAGAAGAGGGCAGGAGGAAGAGGTGGAGATGGGTTATTTGTCTGGGTGCACGAAGACTGCCTCTGGGTAGAGAGGAGACAGACATGACACAATGGCAAATGGCAGTTCATAAAGAGAAAAGAGGAAACCTGTATTAGGATGAGGTGTTTAATTTTAACTTGCCATGTTAATTAGGTGAGCCAAAGGGGGCTTTTGATTGCTGGACTTCAATATTTTGATAGCTGGACCTTGGCAGTCAGCCTCAGGAGGAGGAAGCAGCCAAATAGGGAACACACACACACACACACACACACACACACACACACACACACACACACACACACACACACAGAGTGAGTAAAAGAAACATTCTTTAAAGATTCTTTTCGCCCTCAAGCTTCCTGAAAGAACAGCCATACCCAGGCTATTGCTAACCTCTGTGGACGAAAGCGGTCCTTGGCTGATGAAGATTAAGAAGAAATGGAAAAAGATACATGAGACAAAACCAGTTACTTCAATGGGAGAGAGAACTTACGTTGAGGAGAAAAGTATAAAATTTAGAAAGACCACAGTCATTCCGTTTACCTGGAACCCCGGGTCAGGGCAGCTGCTGGGGCACCTGAAGCCGTGAGGAGCCGTGGGACCCAGCGTGTTTTGCCCACTTGCCCAATGTCTATGCGGGCACACGGCCTCACTCTCAGTGTGGACTTCAAGGGAGGGGAGTGTGGACAGCGCCCTTCTCTGTCTACAGAAATCATGAACAACTCTCTCTCCCCAGGTTTTCAAAAGAAAGAAAACCCAAGCTTGGAATCCCAGCTTGAGGAGCGCCCTGCCCTCCGCTGTCACACACCTAGGAGACACAGGTGGATACCCACCATCTGCCTCGTCTTTGGTCACCTGAAGACAAGCCAAAGTTCCTGGAAGGTAAGTGCAGTGCCAGGTGTGTCCGTTTGCTTTGACTCCTCCTTCCCCTTAAGTTTTCATGTCGTGGCACGCCATGTTTCAAATATGGCACCTCCCGGTCCTGTCTGCTCACCTTTGAACCCTCTGCTGCTCTCTCCCTCCCTGCATTTGAGCTCTCTGAGCTTTGGTCTTCTAGCCAGTCATGAGGCCCCTTGATCTGGCCCAGAAGCCCCTCCACCCCAGGTGGCCACTAGCCCTCCTTGCTTAGCCATACATCACATGCTCCGCTCAGTGACCTGGGAAATGACCCCACTGTAGACCCACCCATCCCCACACCACATCCATCACAGAAGGGAGAAAACACATCGCCACTCACCTCAAACTGAAGAGAGAATTTGTAGTCAGAGTCCTTAGCCATATCCTTGATGTAGGAGTCAAAGTTATCCAGCTGAACTGGGCTTTGTCAAACACAAAGAGAGGAATGTTTAAGAGTCAGCCTGGTGGGCAGCATGTTGGTTAACACCGCACTTTGTGCTTTTCTTGGCAAAAACAGAAGGTTTACTTTTCTAGGATGAAAACTCACTGTTCCTACATTCTCTAATTAAGGCTGTCAGTTGGCAATACAATTTTTAGAAAAAGTATATATACACTAAATTTCCTAGAGATGTCTAGATCTACACTTCACCTTTAATTTAAAATGTATTACCTACACACTTGCACATACATGAGTGTATTATGTGTGTTTGTGTTGGGTGTATGTGCATAGAAATACACATATGTGTATTTGTGTGTTTATTTCTAGAGGATCCAGGCATGTGGGAAAGAATAAGGGTTTACATTCCAGTGACCTGTCTGAGATGTGGTTTGCTGTTCCTTACATAGAATGTGACTCTGGCTAATCATCTGGCTTCTCATAAATTCACCATAGTCATTGAAAAATGCTACTGCAACACCTACCTCCTTGGATCCACATATAACATACAAAGAGACTTGTCAAGCCGGGCGTTGGTGGCTCACGCCTTTAATCCCAGCACTCGGGAGGCAGAGGCAGGCGGATCTCTGTGAGTTCAAGACCAGCCTGGTCTACAGAGCAAGTTCCAGGATGGCTTCCAAAACAATACAGAGAAACCCTGTCTCAAAAAACAAACAAACAAACAAACAAAAAACCAAAAGAGACTTATTAAACAGCTTTCTAAGAATAGAGAATCCTGCAGCTAGTTACAGCACCACCAGAGCAGGGCCCTGGCCAGCAGGATTTGTCTAGGCAACTCTGGGTGTGTGGCCTGAGAGAACTGTATTTAATCTGGCAAATTGATATGACTGTAGAAATGACTCAGAGGTGCAAGCAAGTAACGTACCCAAGCCACGTTTCTACACCTATGGTAGTTTCTTTTCTTATGAAAAGGATTTGACTTTCTTGTCTATGCATCTGCTCACCTCTCTTCTAGAAGCAGCCTACACCACCTGTTCTTTTTCCTACAGGAAGCTGTAATTCTCCTCTAACCCCAGCCTTTCCATTTGGGTCGGGTCCACACACTCAACCTGTACCTTAGTCTGTGACACGTTGTTCAGCGTTTCCCATGTCTGCAGCCCCGCACCCCATTAGGAACTGTACAGCATGGATTGATTAGGTGTTCAGTTAAAGCTGCTGATTAGCTACCCTGGTCTTCCGTTCTCACTTCTCGTCTCCTCTAGTGTTGACTTTCCTTTCTTTCACTGCAAGGCAGCTGGATTTCTCAGAGATTGTAAGGAAGTAAACGTTCTCAGGTATTATATCAAAACTCTAATGTCCTTAATCAGAAGTGACAGAAACAATGATTCTTGCCCACAAAAACCACAGCAGTTCCTAAAACTTGCTGACTTGCTTGGTGGGTCCGTGAGAGCCACAGATGCCTGGGCTATGGCTTAGTGGCCTGCCTAGCATGTGCACAGCTTCAGCTTCAATCCCTAGGACAGAAGAACCAAGCAAACAGAAGTGAAGACTCTGTTGTGGGGTCACTGCGGAGTAGAACTCTGGCAGGAGCCCTGGCAGAGAAAGTCCTGGCTCAAAGGTTTCCCCCTTTAACCTTCTTCTCTCTCTAAAATACCAGCTCAAGATGGACTCCATGTCCAACCCCATCGGAGCTGCTCTTTCTGACTGCAGTTGCAGCGGGGCATTGGTCTCAAAGTTAGATTTGACATTTCCAAACTGCACCTTGTTATTCGGAAACCAGGAGCATTTGTGGTGGAGACAGACCAGGTTTGTGGTCAGAAGAAGCAAACCCCAAGAAGGAGAAGGGAGACAGACAGGAGAATGCTGGAATAGAACTGGTACAGAGATGGGGTGGGGTGGAGTGAAGCCAGGGGTGGGGGGTGGGGTGGGGGGTGGAGGGATGGGAGGGGAATGGCAGGGGGGATGGGAGGGATGGGACGGACGGGCACCGGGAGGGAGGAGTGAGCAGCAGGAACATTTAAAAGATGGTGCAGGAGTGGGGAAGGGTGGCTGTATGAAGCAAGGGGAGAGGGAAATCAGGGACCACAGAGCCCAGCTCTTCTATCTTCTCATTTCTTCCTGGGACTTGGAAAGAGACATCTCAGAGTGTCCCCTCCCCTTTGTCCTGGGACTCTATTCCTGGATATTCTAGCCAATCCGTCTATAGCTCGCCTCAAAACACACCAGTAGATTTTGGCAATGAAAACTTTCCGTTGCCCTCATAATGTTTCTCCCGAACAATTGTCTCTTCTCAAATAAGCGCCCCTCCCATGGTGCATGTCAATGGGATGTTTACTGATTGTACACAGACTCTGGAAAGATGATCCTACTGTGCCCTGAGATTATAACCCACTCAAAGCTAAATAAAAATACTTTATCTTAATGTTTCTTTTGAAATATCTAGCAAAATACTATATGATTTTTTCCCTCTCTGTCAGCAATAATGTCACTGGAACCCCATTGCCTTTTTGAACTAATACATCAGTGTTCTGTCCTTTTTAAGGATAAAGACTGAATTCTATTTATAAAAAAATGTTTCCCTGTTTATATATACCATAGAATTTTAATCAAGAAAAGGCCTGGGACTGGAACTCATAAATGTCTGAAATCCATGGTGGGTAGTTTTCACTCACCGTAATCATATTCTTCTGACTTAACAGTTCAGGAGGCAAGAGCATAGGCTAGCTAATTATCTTTCCTATTTATCATGACAGATTCTGGAGATGTATTATCAGAGTATTAATTTTAGCACTAACTAAAGTAAAAACCTTTCTCTGGAATAAACGTAGAATTTCAGAACATAAAATGTCCAGAGGCCTTTGTATGCCTTTATGTACATATTAAATGGCCATATATTTGACATGACCTCTGGCAGGCCGTCTGTAAATCCTCACTCCTTCATTCTGTGGTTTCCTGACGTTTTTCCTGAGTGGACTCTGTGACAAGATCTCCAGAGGTCTCTCCATCCCTGTGTGTAAACAGCAACACGCTGTGCTTTTCTGTATATACCTACCTCTTCTTAGGCGTCCCTTCTATGTGGAAGCATGTGATCTTTTTTGTCCCGTTAGCTTAACCTGACACAGCCTTGAGTTATCTGAGAATGGAAACTCAGATCGTCTTAGCCTGAGGGTAGGTATGCCTGTGGGAAGTTGTCTGGAATGGTACTTAATGTAGGAAGACCTAGAGCACTGTGGATGGCACAGTGGTTTTCTGATCAGGTGATTCTGGACTGTGTAAGAAAACTACCTAAGCATAAGCATCGGTAAGCCAGCACGCAGTGTCCCTCCATGGTGTCTGCTTCAAGTTCTCTTCTGTTTTGTTTTTGAGGTAGTGCCTTCCCTGGCTGCCCTTGAACTCACAGAGATCCTCCAGCCTCTGCCTGCTGAGTGCTGGGATTAAAGGTGTGCACCACCACCACACCTGGGTCCTGCCCTGACTTCCCTTGGTAACAGACTGTAACCTGTAAGATGAAATAAACCCTTTTCTCTCCTAAGTTACTTGGGCCAGAGAGCTGTATCACAGCAATAGAAGGGAAAGCTGAATAGGTTTTAATTTGGAACGTTAAGATCATTCTGATGAAACTAAGTGTAATAGTACTACGACTTACTTAGTCAGCTTCCTCTTCTTTAAGCCATTTTTGTTCCTGAAAATTGAAAGAAAAATGCATTTATCAGGATAAAAATTGATTAATATGATTAACTTTAAAGAGATTTAAACTTTTTTATTGAACAGCTATTTAACTTTTATTCACTATATCTCAGATTTGTTAAATTAGTCTTCCTTAGATAAAATGATGACTATTTTTGATTCATATTAAGAAACTACTGGGTCACAAGAACACACATGCATTTCATATTTCCCATTTGCTGAAAACTTCTTTCTAGAGATACAGTGGCTGACTCCTGGAGGTTATCTCACTAGAATGTTTTATTAGTAATGGAAACATCCATTTCATGGCTTCCAGTGTCTAGGGACAAGAAAGGAGAATCAGGGGGCAAAGAACAAATGCCAAGGGGTTGGATTCTTAATTATGGACTAAAATAGCTTTGCTCATAATTTCTGAGGTGAACTATGTGGATGCTGCGGGTGTGTGACTTACACAATTCTATGTTATCACACTTTTAACATATATGAAGAAATTGACCTGTCCCGTGTTTCTTCTTATTCCTTAATAACCCACAAACTCAAACACAGGAAGTGTTAATGTATGGTTTGGTTAATTACATTTACTTAGGATTATTTAGAGTGATTGTTTTCATGCGGTGGGTAAAACTGTCAACCCGAGTCGACTCACACTAGGATAGCAGTTACTTGAAGTCCTTTGTCATTGCATTTTATCATCCATACAAATGTCATGTGTTAGCCTAATTGAGCTTAGAATGAAATAATAGTAAACATTCATGTAATCAGTACTACAGGTCTTCAAATATTTTAATGAGGGCATGCACATTTTCAAAAATAAATGCCAGTAGAAAATGATCAGTTATAGGTACAAGTACTTGATGTGTCAGATTATTTATTTGTAGACTAAAACTGTGATTTTTGTGGATATCTCAGCTCCAGAAAGCCTTTAAAAAAACAAGATAGTACTTTCCCCGAGCTTCCATAGCTCCCGGCAAATGGCCATTTCCCATGTGTGTGGTAGACTCATGTTATTCCCCCCAGCTAGATGCTGCATCCTTCAGGGCTGAGCAGAGGCAGTGGCTGCCCCAGTGGCCTGTCAATGAATGCTTATCATGGTGACTTGAAGCAAAATATCTTAAATTCGTATTGTCCCCACAGTTCTACTTAGTAAGTCTGTTATGCAAATTACACATCTTGTAGCCTTTACTATTATATGCAATTTTGTGTCCGCCACAGACGTAGAAACAGGGCTATCTGGGGATCAGAGGAGGACTGGCAAGAAGGGAGGAAGGATGGGGGGTTGGATATAGCAGGCACGTATGCTCAAAGCAAGGATGTGCTTGAGGAAAGAGTTTTGTGAGGCCAGGAGCTGGCTCAACCACTAAAAGGTCTTCTGACAAGCCCGAGAACCCGAGTCCAGCCCCCAGAACTCAAGGCAGAAGGAGAGAACTGACTTCTGAAAGCTGACCTTTGACCTCCACATGTCCGATGTGGTGTGAGCGTACAGTCACGACACACACACACACACACACACACACACACACACACACACACACACGCCCACACAGAGACCACACACATACACCACAATGCACAATGAATGCATACCAGTAAAAGGAAAGGCTATGTACTATCCTCAAACTGTCTAAAGAGTAACTATTACTTGATCCTTGTCTCGGGTTCGTGACATACTGAGAAGTGAGGCTTGTAGACAGAGAGCAGGCTGGCAGGTCAGGGTTATAGGGAAGCATCCATTGTAGCACAGGGAGTTTCTGGGTTTAAATAGTTTTTATTTCTTCCCGCTTCTAAGTGAAGACACCCCACCCCTGCTTCGTTCCTGCTTCTCCCCTGCTCCCTTGGCCTCATCTCCTCTGTATTTTATTCCTAGACTTTAGAAGATATACAATTCTCCCGTATCACTTAAAAGCACGGATATCAGATGTGGCTGTATCACTCACTTAGGATGATGGAACCTACAGAAAGCTCCACGGGCCCTCCCTTCATTCCTCTCTCATGGTAGTAAGTTGATATCAGAATGCAACACAGCCGATTACATCAGCATTTTAAGAAAGCAGAATGCTAGGGCAGGTGGCCGACAGCTCTGCTAGTATCAGGAGACTGAGAGTGAACAAGATCAAGACCCCCTGAATATGGGTGTCAGTGAGGAGGCCTAGGTAACCTATTGAGCCTTGGACAGCAGATCAGTACCCATCCCAAGTATACACACGGTCTCTGGACTCCCATAGAACAATGTGAGGTGCACTCTCACCCTGAACTCTTGGGGAAGGGTCTAGGCCCTGCCCTATATGAAATGACAGACTATGGACACCCCCATGGAGGGCCTCACCCTCCCTGGGGGAATGAGGGGATAATGGGGGGGGTTGGGGGGAGGGCACGGGAGGAGGGGAGGGAAAGGGGAGGGACCTCGTACTGACTTGTGAAGCAATCTTGTTTCTTATCTAAATTTAAAATGGAAAATAAAAAAATATTAATAAAAAAAATTCCCTTCCTATCCAACAGACTGCAAGAAGAATCTGAAACAAAGGGGTGTGTGCAAAAGAGAGATGCTGAATACATTCACGCTGAAGCCACGGGCTGCTGGTGCTTGGCAGCTCTGCAGAAACCAGACTCATGGAGGACAGATGCACACCTTTTCATTCTAATCCCATTTGTTCCCCGGTGAGCTTTGGTGTGGTGTAAAGTTCCACGGCATATTTTGTATGGTGCACTGTGGCCGTGAGGGTGTGTCTGTGTGATTTGTGGCTGCTTTCAATGTTCTATTTAGAGTCTGCTGAATCTGGAGTGTCCGTGTATCTGAAGGCCATGGAATATGCCAAGACTGACTGGCGATAGACCAAAGCTACATGAAGAGTACCTTTCTATGCTTTTGGGTACTGTGCCGAGAGAGAGTGAGAGAGAGAGAGAGAGAGAGAGAGAGACAGAGAGAGAGAGAGAGACAGAGAGAGACAGAGACAGAGACAGAGACAGAGAGAGACAGAGAGAGAGACAGAGACAGACAGAGAGAGAGAGAGACAGAGAGGATAAGAGAATCATATACATTTCATTTTTCCCTTTTTGTTTGTATAAGACCAAGTTCAAATCTCCAGTGACTTTGAGGAATTAAGGTGGATTCTTCCTAAGTTCTTTAGAGGCACAGCAGTCTGAGAAATCCCACCACACTGCAGTCCATTCCTCAAAAGAATACAAGGTAATGAAGAGCCATGGAATGTGTGCTGATTAAAACAAAGGATAAAACCACAGAGGTCCCCAGGGTCCTAAGTGCAGCTGTTTCACACGCTAAGCAAAAGCACCGGAAAATCTGAGTACAGGACCTTGAGGTTTGTGTCCTGCTCAAAACATAGCATGACCAGTCATTGTGCATGCATTTGAATAATGTAACTAAATGTCACCCTGTGCTTAAATGCCCGCTGTTTAGGAGTTAGAGCAGAAGCAGGAGTGACTGAGCATGTCATGCAGCTGGCTACGGTAGAGAACAGAAACAGTGGTGAATTCAGTTCAGAGTAGAGAAGCTTCTAAGAAGAGTTGGGCTCCAAGACCATTGAAGTCAGGAATCATCACAGAAACCACTGGACAGGGCAATCTGGCCAGATGCCTACCACCTCGTGGTAGAATTCTCACCTGACAATGAGAAACTGTCTGATGGGATCTCTTGATTTCCTCTCAAGCTGAGGGTGGTAGCAAATCAATAGAAGCCATCCCTTCAAAAACTCCTTCACTTCTGGAGGAAGCTGGATAATGCTTTGGGAATGTGGGCAAGTGTCCTTCTGCTGTTTGGGGCTGTCATTAGCAGGGTAGGTGGCATGTGAAGACAAATGCCACCGAGGGCGCTCAGCCAAGGCTGGCTTAGGGAGGGACCTGCAGATGAAGCAGTGGGCATGCCAGCTGTTTTCATTTAGTTTTGTTTTGGGGGTTGGGATGTGTGAAAGTTTTAGAATGTGACAACAGAGACTGCTTGCTTACCTTTGACTGTCTCTCCTCACCTCTAAGCAACTATTCACGGCCTCAGGATGTTCTCCTAAAAACAGTAGGGCCTTTCCCCCTCTTAAGGAGGGTTTCACACTATTTGAGCAATATTGTCCCTAATGGACCCTGAAGGGGTTGGCCATCTGTTCTTCAGAGGGTCATTAAGAAAGACACGCAAGTCATGAACTGTAGAAAATGGGAAGATCTGAGGGACTAAACTGAGAAAGGGACACAGCACACTACACTACACAGCCTTCTTTTCGTTTTGCTTCAACTGAAACCTGAGGTGGATACTCCAGTCACTACCTGCATCCTAAGCACAGGTGCAATCCCTGAGGATGATGAGCGGGGGTGTTCAACTGAAAGGTAATGCCGCTCTTGAAGGTCAAGGTGGAATTAGCATGACCCACTCATACCCGGGAGACTATCTGAAACTAAATGCAGAACACACTGAGTTGATGATGGTGAAGTCTGAGTCTATAGAGTAGCAACAGCCAAGAGAATGGTATAATAGTGAGATATGGTTGACTTTGTTTCAAAGAACTGCCCTCTGGTATTTTTCTTAGAGAATGTACAAATTCTGTAGTAATGATGCACACCGAGGAAGCCTTTTTCAACGTCTCTTCCTTTGCAGCTTGATATTATAAATTACATTACAACCCCTGTGTTTCATTTGCCCTTGGAGGACTAGAAGAATATTTGGCCAATAGCTTCAATGCAGGAATAGTTGTTCAGATTTCCCCCATCCGTTTCTCTCCCTCCTCCACCCTTCTCTATCTCTCTCTCTGTCTTTCTCTCTCCGTCTCTCTGTCTCTGCTTTTTCTCTCACTTCCTGACCCATTCTCTCTCACACACAGCCACTATTCCACTCCGTGAGATATTTTTATTGATTCCTTCCAAGTCCGCTTCACATTGCCCACATTTCAGATAGCTGTTTAGTTTTATTTAGTATCTTAACAACCATATGTTAGCTTAAGGACAATGACTCTTGTGTGTGTGTGTGTGTGTGTTTGGGATTTTTGTCACTTTCCTGGAAGACTATTTCTCTGATGTCTTGGGGGAGAAAATAATTTTGGATTCTTTGGCCTAAGAAGTCAAGTTTATTATCATAATTATTACCATTGTCATTATAGCATAGCACAAGCCAAGAAGGATATGTTCCAAGGCTTGATTGTCCATGTGATTTAGGTACTTATAAAACAGGAAGGTGCTTTGTTTCCACTCAGAGGAGAGAGGACATTGTCTGGACTCTGAACCAGTATTTATTATATGATGGCTCCTGATGTCCAGACAGTTGCTCTCTTTGGGACTCTGTTTTCCTTTCTTTTGTTGAAGATTTTAGCGATGACTTATGTGTACATATGTGTGTGATTGAGTTCATGCACAGGAATGCAGGTGCCCGAGGAGGGGACTGGATCTCCTGAGCTGCCCCCTGTGGTTTCTGGGAGTTGAACATGGGTCCTCTGCAAGTGCAGCCTTAGCTGCTTTGCTGGGAGCCCCGAGTTCTGTTTTCCTGGCTCTAAAAGGAGCATAGCAGATTACAGACTGTGGGTTATTAGAGAAGACAACTGCACAGAAGGGCTTATATGCAGTTAGATATTCAGTAGAGTTGAGGTCGTTTGAAAGCAAAGAGGTCTCCAGATTCAGTCTCCTTCCCCTACCTCCCTGCATTTACCTTCTTGGAAGTAAAGCATTTTCTCCTATGTGGGGATGGGAAGGAAAATGGGACTCAAAGATGGCAGGCTGCCGGGCCAACTCCAAAAGACAAGTGACAAGGCACACAGGACAGGAAAGCTTTTGAGAGAACCTCGGGAGATTTAACTGGGAAGACACTGCAGTCTTCTGGGTGTCATTTACTGTCTCAATGCCTTTCCATTTTCTCATTGTCCTAAGTGCTGAGAATCACATAAAACAACCAGCAAGGAAACAAACAAACCCTTAATCCCATTTTGTTTACTTTCTGCAAGTTAACTTCTAGAGACTTTGTGTTGGGTAAATAGTAAAAATGAAATCACTTACCAAGGGTTAATATAAAATGCCAAAAGATAGTCAGTCCAAAGACATGAAGGCAGCAGGGTTAAGAAAGCAAACACACTCCTACGCCTGTGAGCATTAATAAACAACAGATGCAAAGATGAAAATGTGGTAAGGGTTAGTAATTCAGCTGTGAACAGATATCAGTAAGTTACCTGCCAGGGTCAACTCATACCACAGTTGAATATCATTCCCCCTGTAGGCTCCAGACGGAGGGCTTAAAAACTACAATGTTGACCAAATCAGCTTCTATTCACACAAGTCCTCACGGCAATCAGGGACAACTTCTTTCTACTCACTGCTGCTCAACTCAAGCTGCTCTTAGGAGATTTCATTTTCCATTCTGTTCACCGAGGGTCATTAGCTGGCTGGTGCATTATTCTCAGCCATCACCCCTTCCAATCTAACCTAATTTAAGAAGCCAGGTGGCAGAACAGCGCCTTGTCTGATTGGATATAGATGGTCAGGCCACTTAAGTGGGTTTGGAGAGGACCAGGCTTCTGTAGCACATCCTTATCAAGATGAACCACTTGGTGTGACTTTCTATAGTATTTTCAATTGGAACCCTTATCCAATTTCTAAAGCTATTCCTTAAAGCACCATCCTAATATGCTACTTGAATATCATTCATTCAGCATCAACACCTCATCCATGGCTGGGGTTTTTCATTGGTTCTCATCAGAATGGAAGTAAAACATTAAATAATTGCATTTTAATTCCAACTGAGATAAAATTTCTGATTGGATTCTGATTGCAGGTATTCAAACAGCACTCAAGACAGACTACCCATTCCTGTGGGCTGTAAAATATCCTGAGCTGCATCTATAGTTAGAGTGAAAACCAGAAGAAACTGTCATCTTGTCACTTTAGTTAGAACAGATCCCCGCTGAGATGGCTAATCTCACTCCCTCAGAATGCCCTCCTGCTGGTGAAACCAAGCTTGCTTGCTACAGGTTGCAGGAGAATTTGCTTGAGTTTAGGGAAATGTCCTGGAG